TAATGCAGCAGGAAAGGAGCGCCAGCGACCCGCAGGACATGCCAATCGAAGGCGACGTCTAACTGTTCAAACTGTCCTGCTCAGTCTGGCGGGGCGCGAGTCCTTGTTTGTTCAAATACCCTACACGAATTGGACATGGCAAGCAAGGGTATATTGTGTGTTTAACAGGCAGCAGGCGGCAAAGTCGTGGATATCAAAGATATTAAGGAATCGATATACATATTTATCGATTTGCTCTCTGTTTCTCGCTTCATGTTGCTCAGTTTTCCTTGCCCCAAAATCGTTTTATATTCTGATTTGATCTCTTCTCAACTCTCTTTACATATTTCCCCAAAATCGATATGTATCGATATAAACTCTTTACTTGCCTAAACAATTATTTATGCATGTCGATTTGAACTCCTGTCTTGATGCCTGTATCTGCACAACATCCTGCATTTTCCTTAAATCGATATCGATAAGTATCGATTAGATCTCTAGTTTTTTATATATTCCCTAAATCCATATATATATCGATTATTGGCAGCTGTCCGCATTTCGCAACTATCGAAAGATTTGATCTGTGTTCTGGATCGCTTATTTTTTCCCCCTTAATCAATATATTAATTTATTTTTGATCTCATGTCTTGATCTTTTGTTCTTTTAAGTTTCACCAAAGTCGATATATATCAGTTAGATCTCTATTCGTGACCAAAAATCGATAATATATCAGTTAATCGATATCTATCGATTTGCAGGCTATTTATTTGTTGGTATATATGTATATATATATATATATATAGGGTAACTGCTAGTCGAGCAGTTTTGACTTGAGCACTCTTGTGCTTCTTTTTTGCACATTTGCACATGTTTAGACATTTGCACGGCCTGACATTCGACTTCCTGACAGGACATGCAGGACTCTGACGCCCGCTGCCCTGTGCGCCCGCCTCGATCAGCGTCCATTGTTGTTGCCTTTGGCGAGTTTTCGCAACTGTGTGTTTTCCTCTGTTTCTCGCGCGCGTGTTCCAGAGGGACCAAAGTGCCGCAGGACCTGACCGGGGTAAAAGTGGGCAAATTGAGAGAGAAAAGTGCGGGTCGAAAGGTGCGTTAAGCGACGACTTTTCTCACTTCCAGCGAAAATCAAGCGGGTGCACTGTGTGCGAGTGTGTGTGCGAGTGTGTGTTGTGTGTGTTCTCCAGTTGTTTCAATTGACAATTTTTGGCACTCGACGCGAGCGTTTAAATCGCAATTAGAGCCGAAAGTGTGCCCGCTTTTAAAAGGCCATTTGCCACTTTTCCACATATTCGTGCTCGCTTTTCACAATGAAAAGTGTGCCATCAAATGGTTTTCCAATGTAGCCGCGCTCTGTTAAATGCGAATAAGAGATCAACATCTTCTATTGTTAACAAAAGAATAACTCTATTAACGCCTCGGTCTGATTTGTAGGGGCGTTTGCCATCTGAATTGAGTTGCAAATGCTCCATCGAATTGCTTTATAAGTGCCCGAACACAATAAAATATTGTCTGTAGCGCGTTATGATACGATATTCGTTTTTGGCATTTGGTTATTTGAGCATAGCTCGAGGATTCTTAGCGCTAGCTGCACCCTACTTGGTATGTACGTTCTTTTTTGGTCTATGCAAATGCATAATGTTTCACTTTTTGGATACCTTAATCCATTCCAGACAAAGAAACAAAAAAGTAAAATTTTCCCTAAATAGAGGCATATTAAAGGCCTGTCATATTAAAGGCCTGAGCATTTCATAGAGATCGCACCTCATAGTCCGAAGTTAAACAAGAATGCATTTCCCAAGCGAGGCGTGTGACAAAATATAACATTTCATTTAACATTTCCATTTCTAAATATTTGCATAAATGTTGCTCATGTTTTCCGGCTATATATAATAAAATATTTATGATATATTTTTGTATATTTAGTTAATTTGATTTCATGTATTTCATTTGAGATTCCCAACGCAAGGCATGCATTTCACTTTCAATCAAAATAAAATTAAAGAGCTGCTTGTTAAATGAGACGGCGAGTCGGAAAGTCGACCCGGGCAAATGGAAATGGTAATGGAAACGGGAAATCAGAGACGGGCAACAGACAATGACACGCACAAAGGCGCATCATTAGAGAGCCTGATAACAATATGCAACTGCCCAAGACAAGTAGCACAACGGGCCGGGGCGAAACTGTGAAAACAGAGGCAAACACATAAAAAAAAAAGAAAGGAGAAAAGAAAACATGAAAGGAAAAGGTGAAAAGCACCGATGGACGCAACGCAACGGGCTAACCTTTGTCAAGTCTCAGGGATTTGGCTCGCGAGCTGTCCGCTGGTCAGCCCCGGCGCCGTCCCGGAAAAGGGTGTGACAAGCCGCAGAACAGGCTCATATGAAAATCGAGCCGGAAAATACCTGCTCTATATAAGTAGTTATTGTTATTGAAGTCCGCCTGACCGCTTCGTCGACTGCGTCGTGACCCCGCTAGCCAGTGATACAATATGATGTCCAGACATATCACATCATGTGAGCCATATGTTGTCTGTTGTCTGTCAAGCCGCACAAAGGCACAGCCCATATCTGCCTGCCTTGTCGGTGGTCAACCTAGCTAGGCGCTGTAGGAACTTTCACGCTCCGTTGATCGCACGCCTGGGAAGTGCATCAAGTTCAATGAACAACACAAATGGGGCCCTGTGAAAAGTGTTAACGTCTTTGGCTTAGTCCGAGCTGGCATTGGGCCAGCCAAAGGGTTGGCTCTATGGAATTTGCATAACCCTCGGCCGGAGTCCAATGTTATGACAGCTCATTTAACGCCCTTTGCCTATCTGCTCCAGTTATATGCCATACCCAATTGAACAGAGATATTCGGGCCTGAGCATTTGTGAACTTGACCAGCTAATGAGCCATGGCCACAACAGCTCCTAACGAAGGGGTTTTCCATTTGTTGCTCTGTGGGAAACTTTCGAGTGCTTCCTCATTCCATTTGACTGGACAGCCCAGCTGTAAGCTCAGCGGGTGCTCGATGGGGCACAACATCTTAAGGACTCTGTTGTTTTTCGCCTCTTGAGGTTCCTAATGATGATGCTTCATAGACTGTGTTTCATGTAAAACTTGTAAACATCCTTCGTAAAATAAGATAGGAGGGCCAAGCAATCTATCTACCTATCTATCTATCTATCTATCTATCTATCTGTCTATCTTTCTATATATCGATCTATCTATCTATCTATCTATCTATCTTTCTATCAATCAATCAATCTATCTATCTATCTATCTATCTATCTATCTATCTATCTATCTATCTATCTATCTATCTATCTATCTATCTATCTATCTATCTATCTATCTATCTATCTATCTATCTATCTATCTATCTATCTATCTATATACCTATCTATCTATCTATCAATATATCTATATATATATCTTTATATCTATCTATCTATCTATCTATCTATCTATCTATCTATATATCTATCTATATATCTATCTTTCTATCTATCTGTCTTTCTATACTTTTTCTTCTCTTCTCCCAGGCCATTTATGGAAAATGCATTCCTGATTCTGAAGTGACTTCAAGTTTCTCCCATTTAGCTCTAGCTCTTATAATTCTCGAGCTATGCCCAAATAACTTAAAACTCTCAAAATCGATATTTATCGCTGCTATGAAAATCGGAGGAGGAGACCTCGAAAAGAAAGTAACAAATTCGTTTGGCGCATGGTAAAGCTAAAAATATATATATCCATATATATATATATATGTATGCATATTTGCCTAAATCGACGCACAGATGGAGAGACAATAGGTCAGACGGACATGAAATGTGGATAGAAATCCTGGCTGGCAAAAAAGCCGGGTCAAGCCCATGGCTGTCAGCTAAAAAAGAGGTTCGAGCTCCTGGCTAGCAATTGAAAAATGTGGTTCAAACCCCTGGCTAGCAAATGTAACAAACTTGTTCAAATCGTTGGCTGTCAACTGAAAAAAGTAGTTCGAATTCCTGGCTAGCAAATGAAAGAAAAAACGTGGTTCGTATCCGTCTGGATAGTAGCTCAACAGGGAGTTCACATTCCAAACTGGCAACAGGAAAAAGTGGTTCGAATCTCAAGCTAGCTGCCAAGAGAGTAGTTCGAATCCCGGGTCAGCAGATGAAAAAAGTGGTTCGAACTCCTGACTGAAGATAGGGTTCGAATATCTGGCTAGCAAATGATCTAAATGGTTCAAATGACTGGCTAGCAAATGAACAAAAAAAGTGGTTCAACTTCACTTGGGTTCAATCCCAGGCCAGCAACTGTAAGAATTGGTTCAAACCTTCCAGTGCTTGGCAACGGAAAAAGTTGGTTCGAATTTCTGACGAACAACTGTAGAAAGTGGTTCGAATCTTTGGCTAGCTGGTTCTACTTCTTTTTAAAGTAAGATTTACTAAATATTCAAATAAATATGAATTCAAATTTAATTGAAATAAAGTCTTCAACTTACCCGAGCTGTTTGGTTCAAGGAAGTCTCTCGCCTGAGCACGTAATCAACTTTAGTTAACTTTTCTCACCCTCTCTCTCTCGCTTTCTCCCTCTTGCTTTCTCGCTCTCTCGCTCTCCCTCTGGTAGCTAGCAGGGCATAAAAACGCCCATTAAGCCCGACGCTGTGGGAAACACTTGCACTCGGAAGCGGGCGTCGTCTGCCAAGTCGGAAGGTTGGGCCCGTGTCTTGGCTCGAAGCATGGGCCACGCTTCGCTGGATCTCAAGAGGTTGTTTTGCATTTAATGCTGGTTTTGCTCGGGACACTTTTGTGGTTTGTCTCTTCTTCTTTTTTTTGTTCAATAAAAATAATGATGGACGCGACTCGTCGGGACTGTGGGAAAGTCCGGAGGAGCCGCCAATTAAGAAACGCAGCGACACAATTTCCATAATTTTCATAATTCAATTATTTACTCTTTTAACAGGAAAAACTCTTAAATTAATAAAAAAAATACTCAAAAAAAAAAAAAATGATTTAAGCTATTTAAAAACATTCATGTGTTCAGCTTTGCTCGTTGAGCGAGAAGCTGAGACGCCGCTTGGTCGCATCCCGCGCCTCCGACTGCAGCCAAATGCCCTCCAGCTGCGGCCCGCCCAGCGCCAGGTTCTCATCCTCCTCCTCGTCTAGCTCCAGCTCACAGTCACTGGTGGAATTGTGTCCGCTGTCGGGGCTGATGTGCCGCTGCTTGGCGCGGGATTGGGAGTGGGGCAGCTTCTGGGCGGAGCGCGAGGCGGCCGCCAGCAGCTTCTGCGCCGATTGGCGCACGCTCGACGAGATCTTCGTCGCGATCTGCCGCTTGCGCCGCACCACGCGCTGCCTCCTCAGCTGCAGCGAACGCCGCTTGCCCTGCCCCCCTCCCCCTCCCCCTCCCCCTGCCAGTTCCAGTTCCAGTTCCAGTCCAGATCCCGACTGGGAGAGCGGCTGTGGGGAGCACACTTCCCGCTCCTCGTAGGCATCCGGATGCACAGGTGGCTGCCAGTACTCGGACAGATCGCTGGCCGGATCGAAGGCGGGTCGATAGGTGGGCGAGTGGCTCGTCGAGATGAGACGCTGACCAGGCTGAAGCTGAGGCTGAGGCTGCGGCCTCTGACGCTGCCGCTGGCGCAGACGGGAATGGCAACGGGATCGGGCACGGACACGAGCTGGCGGCTTGCGTGTGCTCTCCAGAATGGCATCGATCATGCGCTCCAAGGTGACATCGCCCATTTGGCTGGAGCTGAGCGTCGTCTGCTCAGCACTGGGAACAGGAGCAGCAGCAGCAGAAGAAGGAGGGGGAGCAGCTCCCACTTGGTCACTGGGAAGTGGCTTCTGTTCCAGGTAGCGCGGCTTCTCGAAGTAGCTGTCCGGGATGCCCATGCCGCGCAGCGCCAGCAGCGCTCCCGGAAAGATGACATTGTTGTTGTTGTTGTTCTCCCCATCCTGGTCGACCCTGTAGCTGGGCGAGTACTCCGCCTCGAAGGTGGGCAGCGTGGAGGCATAGACAGCGGTCTTCGCCTTGGACGTGGGCGTGGGCATGGGCGTGGGCATGGCCATGGTCATGGGCGTGTGGAGAGGCGACATGATGTTGCTCAGATCCCGGAGCAGAGGAGTGCGTGCTCCAACTCCAGCTCCAGCTCCAGCTGCGGGCAGTGGCGTCGATGTCAATTGATTCTCCTTGCCCAGGTGGAGGAGGCCCGGCAGCAGCGATTGCCGCTTCAGCTTGAGCCGCTGCGTCGGGGGGGCGGCTGTGCGCATGGGCGTGGCTGCCGCCTGGAAGTCGCTGTAGCTGCTGATGACCTGGTGGATTGTGCCTGTGCTCGGATCTGTGCCCGCGACTGGCTGCTCGGCCAGGTAGGAAGGGCGCGGCTGGTTCACAGCCCACTTGAGCATCTTCTGCTGCTTCCTCTTCCTCTCGCTGTTGTTGTTGTTGTTGTTGTTGTTGTTGTGAGTGTCTGCAAGTGCAAAGTTGTTGGTTTAGTATTCAGCTGGGTGTCTGTGTGTGCGTGTGATGTGTGTGTGCGTGACCCTCGCTGCGTTCCTATGCCCTGTTCGCGCAGGTCAATGGGGTATATAGGCTTGCACGTCTGCTTAGCTGCCTTAAGCAAGTTGTTAATAGCCTTTTTCTTATATTTCTAGCTATTTATTGGCTAAAGCGAAATTTCACAGCGAAAAAGTTGTTGTTCGATTTGTGTTCAGCTTATCTTCTACTTTGAACAGGGCATGTTGCAGTCGCTTATACCCGTTTGTAAAGTTCTTGTTTATTGTTTTTGGTTGCTTTTTTTTTTAAATGTATTTTTAGCTTTTTGGCTTTTTGTTTGCGCCTCCTGCGCAGCGCGAAGTTGCCGAGCGAGTTTTTGGCGCGCTTTTCGGCGGCCAATTCCGCGACGTGCACCATATATATGCCCATCAATACATATATATATGCCCATCAATATATATATATGCCCTTATAGGGCTGGACTATGTGTGTTTTTTTGGTCTGGCCAAAAAATCAGTGAAGCAGCAAAAATGAAATCAAGAACAACTAAATAAATGCCGCAGCGGGCAGTTGGCAAAAATTCCCCTTTAGTTTTCACATGCAATTAAATAGCCCATGGGTGTGCGTAAAAGGGCCTACGGCTAAATACCCCTCCCCCCTCCCCGTCGCTACCCCCTCTACCAACCCTTTAAGAAGTCTTGAACTTGGACATGAAATGCATGTGAAAATATTCATGAAATGCACAAATAAAAGTTTGAATATGCACGTGAATATGCATGTGAATATGCATATGAATATGCATGTGAATAGTTGTGAATATGAGTGTTATTCATAAAATTCGCTTGTACTTTGCTTTTGGTTATCTCATTTAAATCACTTGCATTTACCTTTTCACAAGAATGTTGCACAAGTAAAAAAAATATAAATAAATATATTTCAATTTTGCACTTTTATTTCGATCAATTTTATTCAACTCGATTTCGTATTTGAATTCGTTTGCGCAGCGGAGCGTCGACGTGTGCTCTGCCCGACTCGTGTTTGGGTACTAACTGACTGAGCGCTGGCTGCGAGCGCAGCAAAGCACAAAAACGTGTTGCGTCGACGCACAGCCAGTAAGAGAGAGAGCGACCAAGAGAGAGCGTATGTGAGCAAGCGCGCGCGCGCGCCCGCACACACGTTCGCACGCACAGCCAGAGTCAGAGGCAGGCGCGCATAGTCAGAGAGCGCGTGCGTGTGCAGCGAGAGAGCAGCAGTTGCAACAGTGTTTCAATCAAAGGCAGCGCTGCGCATAGGCATTCGGCATTCATTGAACGTGAGAGCAGAGCAGCGCAGAGCGTCGACTGAACTGAAATACGTAAACCAAATATGCAGCTGGTGGGTGGCAACAGAGTTGAAGGGGGCTGCGGGGACTTCAACTATTTAAACGTATACACTTATATTTATTTATATAGTAAGAGCAATAATTAATGTTATTATTCTGTAAATGTTCGAATTTAAAGAATATTTTCAATGATATTCGAGAAGAAAATAAAGTTTGTTTTCGGCATGCCGAAGACTAAATACCCTGTGCAAATCGTTCGAATATATTATACACATATATATACTGTGTGTTTTATATATATTATTATATCGACTCGACTATTGTTGCAGATGGGGAATAAGTACACCATTTGGGTTTGAAGATGTCTTCGTGTAGGCTTTGCACACCTTGTGACAAAGTCAAAAGCTTCTCTCTGGCAGGGTATCAATTCGCTGTGATTCTGTTAACATTTAACATATGTTATACATATATATACTCTGTATATCACTGCTACTAACAGAAACTCCCCATATACCACACATATGCTGCTTAGGAAATGTTCTAGATAACTCTGAGAGAAAAGAAAAGCAGGCTCCGATTCGGTGGTCAAAACAGTTGGTCGAAGAAAGAACCACAGTTGGCCAAAACATGCAATACGTGAGTTTATTCGGAGAGTTTATCACAAGAGCTGCATGCGCGTGTGTGTGTGCGTGTGCTTGATTGTACGTGTGTGTGTGTGTGTGTGTGTGTGTTTAGCTGCTGCCAGCTGCTGCTGCTGCTGCTGCTCGTTTGGCCGCTGCCCGCCCGCTGCCCGCTCGCTGCTTACGCCACAAAACATAATTTTCAATTACCTTTCTCGCAGCGTGTGGCTCCTTTCACCTTGAGTTTTCGCCAAGAAAAGGACAACACACACACACGTACACGCACAGCCTTTGTACAATTTAGCTTATTGTTTATGGGACAAGCGCCGCTGCCGCTGCGCGCGTCGCTGCTGGCGTCGCAGCGGCTGCTGTTGCTGCTGCTGCTGTGTGTCAAAAGAAAATGTTGTGGAAAATTGTGCAATTGTTTTGCAATTTATTGGTTAAAGGGCTCGGGCAGCGTTCGCCGTTTTCCGCATTTCCCATTCCGGCTTTCCTGCGTCGCTGCCAACGCCGACGCCAACGCCGACGTCAACGTCGACGCCAACTTTTGTTTAAAGCGCAAATTTATGAGATTTGCGCAACTCGAGAATTTTGGACTTGAGATTGAAGCAAAGCGACAGCTGTGCAGCAGCTCAATAGAAAGTGACCGAGAGAAAGGGGCAGAAAGCGAGAAAAAGAGAGTAAGAGCATTTTCTTTGAATTTATGGCCAAATTTTGGTGCATTCAACCAACTTTGAGCCAAATAAAAAGCAAAGGATTTCACTTCCAAACAGGAACTCAGCATTTCCGGCATACGAAGACCACCGCGTGAGGCACTTGCATTGAATATTGGGCAACAATCATATTATATCTATCTATTGTATTATCCAGCTGAGATTGTATTCCAAATAATTTGGTATGAAGTGGCAACTCTTGTGGGCCCAATTGATCTGCTTGACTTTGTTGAATTCTTTCATTTCAATTGCAACGTGAGAAAATTGACGGACTTTTACGTTTTTTCTTGCAATTCGCAACAAGTTCAAGCTTGAATCAGTTTATTTATGTAAAAGTAAGAGGGCTCTAGTCGGAGATGTTCGACTAGGAGATACCCTGAACCAACTCCAAATGCGGTTCGCACAAGGGGGAGAGGGGAGCACGGCGCTGGCATGAACTAACATGAAAGATACTTGATTTGTAATTATTCGAAGAACTAAATGTCCAGCTAAATGGCGAGTCTAGCTCTTAAAAGGCAAGATATTTGCCCAAAAAACAGGGTTTCGATATCGATTTTTATCGATTACTTGGAAAAGAAGTAAGTTATCAGACAGGCGGAGAGACGGACGGACGGATAGATGAATGGACGGATGAACGAATAGACGGTGGACAGACGGACAGATAGACGGAAGGATATACGGAAGGACAGACGGAAGGATAGCCGGACGGACAGACGGACGGACAGACGGACGGACAGACGGACGGATAGCCGGTCGGATAGCCGGACAGATAGACGGAAGGACAGACGGAAGGATATACGGAAGGACAGACGGAAGGATAGCCGGACGGACAGACGGACGGACAGACGGACGGATAGCCGGACGGATAGCCGGACGGATAGACGGACCAACGGACGGATCGCGTTCGGATAGACGGACGAACGGACAGATAGCCGGACAGATAGACGGAAGGACAGACGGAAGGATATACGGAAGGACAGACGGAAGAATATACGGATGGATATGGCTAGATCGACTCGACTACTGATGCTGATCAAGAATATATAATATATATATAGTTTATCGGGTCGGAGATGCTTTCTCCTGCCTGCTACAAACGTTCGCACAAAACCGTGAAACCCTTTCTACCCATTCTCAAAGGGTTCAGGGCATAAAACAGAGCCCAAACTTGAGCTAAAGCTGGCCAGCTGAATATGACAGTATTAGAAGTCTCAGCTACAATTTGGACTCACATTGTTTTTGGTCTTATAATATATATATATAAATGTCCAGCTGCTGGTCTAGATTTGGGCAATGGGCGCAGCTGAGCTGAATGGGTCAATAAATGAATTGTGGACAAAAAATGCAAGGAGGCAAGCCGGCAAGCAGGACTGGGAATAAATCAATAATACGAGCAGGCGCTCAAGGAGCAGCTGCTGCCACAGTAGCGAAAGGATCTTAACAATAATCTGTCCTGTCTTCCGCTGACAGCCATTGAATCAAAGCCAATTTAACGCATTGGTCACTACAACGCCCCTGCCTAAGAGAGAGAGAGAGAGAGAGAGAGAGACAGAGAGGGGGAGAGAGGGAGGGAAGATGCGCGCTGGGAAGATAAATTAGGGCAGGATCAGGATCTGGCCTGGCCTGGCCTGGCCCAGCTTTGCCGCTAATAAATTGCCCAACAATTGCGCAATTTCTCATAGCTGAAAATTGCGAAAAATGGGGAAAATTCTTCACGCTCAGATTTGCTACCGCTTTTCTTCATTTTTTTTCTTTGTTTTTTTTTTCTTCTTGTGCGCCTTTCCATTTCTTTTCTTTATTTATCTATGTGTGTGTGTGTGTGTGTGTTATTTTTTCTCCTGCCCGAACGGGCGTTATCCCTCGCACACACACACGCACACACACATAGACACACAGACCCAGCAAGGACATCAAGATAAAGTACGCTAAAGTACGAGCATAGGCTAGGGACGGGGAGGCAGCTAATCTTATATCATATGATAGCGCGAGGCCCGGCTGCCCCGCCACCCCGAGCAGCTGTGTGGGATTAGGCACCTCGCCCCTCGCCCATCAGCGATACTCAATTCATATATCAGAGTACCTCATATCATATGATATAGCCAACTATCCTTAGACAACTTGGATAGTCGGGCTAACTTATCTGAGAAGCATTACCCGAATCCAATAGAGCAAGCTCTAGCTGGGGCTAGTTGGTTGAAACCAGATCAAACTTCTTTAAGAGCTTAGAAATAGGCATTACTATTATTACTAATTAACTAGATGTCTACTGTCAGACTGTCTTAAAGTCTAGATATATACTTCTTATAGATATATATTTCTTATAATTCCGAAATATAAAAGATATATTAAACCTAGTTAGCTGACTTTTGGTTCCACATAACTGGAATCGATACTCAAGGGATCATAGATGGACTATACCAGGCATAACCCAACCCCTTCGGTAGTCTAAGAAACTAGAAACTGACTTGCTTCACATCCTGTTCGACTTTCAGGTGTTTCATGTTGAACTTATAATCTATGGAGGGAGCTCCGCTCATACAGTATAATCTCCCATATATCGCCAGGATAATATACTAATCCAAATATTTCCCAACTATTCTATTAAGAATTCAGAATGCATTTTTAAACTATGGAATGGGTTCCGATCATAATGTATAATCTTTCATATATTGCCAGGATGAAATCCTAATATATAATATATTTCCAATTTAAAATTCTATATATTTTCCGATTATTCTATTCAGAATACAGAATGACGAATTCCTGTTGACAATCCTTTCATAAGTATTGGGGGGAGTACCACGAATTATCTAAATAGGATTTAAGAATTATAAACAATCAACATCGGAACCTTTTTGATTCAAATCGTGGATACAAATATCGCAATGCCGAGATAGTTAATAAGTCTGAAGATACCCTGAAAGAAGAAGAGCAGATATGCCTAGAAGAAACCCTGAAACCAGCTGCCGTTACAAGCATTGCAGCTTCCTTCTAGATATACAAAGACCATAATGTTTTCTTAAAAACTTCGGTGCTTATAAACCCATCTTTAGACAAATCTCAGGGCCTAAAGTTGACACGCAGAAGTGTATGCATACCAAGGTGCAAGGATCTAGCCTTAGAGACCAGTTTTTTATCGTGAATTTTATAAAGTTTTAGGGGCTTAACCACATACATAGTCAATATTCTATAAATATATATTTGATAAACTTCGAGGTATGCCCAAATAAATAAACATCCCAATCTCTCAATCAATAGGAACCATTGCAGGCAATTTGAAAACGGAATCTTAAAATCGATTGCGAGTTATAAATTTTATTATAAAATATATATAGGTTTATTGAAATGTTGGCTCTGCAATGCTGTAGCTTTCGTGTCTCAAATGTGTTTCAATCGAATGTTGTGTATGAGGCATAGTCACAATGTAAATAAACTTCTTGAAAAATGAAAACGAAACTCAAATTTGTTTGTTTTAACCACTCGGAATGCTAAATTCATATGAAAAACACTTGATGATTTAATTGATACGTGTAATTGATTCCTGCAACAAATTGAAAATGGAATTGATATTGAAATTGAAATTGAATGCGCTGTTCAATGCGATTGACTCACTCAGTTCTCAATAGCGCATCGCTCGATAGCTTCCTGCAATCGTTCTTCCAAATTGACGACCCTGGGGCCCATGTTCGCCAGGACATGTATCTGCATGCTGAGCATGTCCTCGGCCTCGCGCTGCTGCAGGATCAGCCCATTGAAATCGATGGTCAACTGGTCCCGCATCAGCCAGAAGATGCCCACACAAACGGTGCACATGACCAGCCACAGGTTCAACAGCTTCTCCCCATCGCTGAGCACCTGGCTGGCCGGATTCTTCTGGAGCTGATAGGCTGCGTCCAGGACCAGGTAACTAATCTTATCCTCCATCACGGTGAATATGATAAAGGTTAGCGCGATAACGAACAGATTTGTCGTGGCAAGAAGATTTTTTCGAAAATCCATCATTTTTAATATTTTTTCAAAAATTGTCTGCTACACGAGACTAGATAATTAGAATGTGTACTGGCGACTGAACTAAATTCATATGCGCCTACTCCCAGCACAGAAAAGCATTTGACAGCATTGCCCTGGTTTGCTATTCATTATTTTCCATATGTTCTTTCACCACAGAATCAAACTCCAAAGCTCTTGATATCTTCCTCTTATGTTGGGCGCAAAGTGAGGCTGAGTTTGGCTAGGATTTCTAGAAAACAAAACACTTTTCTCAACAGTCAGTGTCTCAATCTGCTCGAACTCGATATATATACTGCGCCGAGCTTAAACTAACATCTGTACCAAATTTCGTGAAGATACCTCCTCTGGAAGCTGAGTTCACATAGGCAGCTATGTGATATATCGCTCGGATGCACGAAAGATTTTGCAGACATGTTGGGAGAATAGTTATGCTGGCAATTGTTCAATTTCGTAAAGATATCTCAGTAAAGAAAAAAGTTATTCACATAAAACTAATTTATCGAGCGATCTTAAGTTGACATATAATGGTTGGAAAAAGCTGGCTGGAACTGGAACTGAATCGAAAACTTATCATATAAAACAATTTGATTGTATTTAATAATTATTTTCACTTTTAATTTTTAATTGAACTTTCTTATATTTGTGCTGCGCTTATTTAAATCGTAGTTGCAAGCCAAATCAATAAGTCAATAAAGAAAGTCTTTCAATCAAATTGAATTGATTTCAATTTCAATCTGCTGCGCCGGCAGCGCTCGCTGCTGCGCGCTCATTTGTTGTTCTCTCCCATTCTTTCTTTTTGGCGCGCTCTCCCACAAATTCCAGCAGCCTAAATACCCATACAAGCAAGGCAATTGCACGCAAATGGGCATACGAATGAGGAGAGCGAGAGAGCGAACGCGCGAGAGAGAGCCTAAGCTGTTGGTGGTTGGTTGGTTGGCTGGCTGTCTGTCAATGGCTGGCCGGCCGCAAGCAGAGCTGAGCACGCAACATGACGTGCCTGGCGAGAATCAGTCACATTGCGTCTGCGCCTCTGACAGGACGTGCCGTTCCGTTCCGTTCCGTTTCGTTTCGTACGTTGAAGGCGCGAGCAGCGAGAATATTCTCATATCATTTTTTGTTGCCTCTTGCACGTTACGGATTTTTTTTTTGGATTATTTAAACGGCGTTCGTTTTTTTTTTTGGTTCCTTGTGTGAAAATTTAGTTTTTGGTTAAAAACGAGCTACCCCCGAAAGCGTAAAAAGGTAAAAGATAAGGAGACAAGTGCATTGCGATTAGCTATTAAAAATGCATTAAATATGGAAAATCAGCCAACCCTCGACCCTCAAGTGTTCTGTGAGAAATTTAATTATGAAACACCCCATTTCAAAATCATCGCATCCGACTCCTTCTCCTTATACGAAATGCATTCGAAATTGTGCGCGTGCGTCACGTTTGGGTTAAAGCTTTCGGGCTTGCCTCTGATACCCTGCCAGAGGGTATGTTAGCTCAGTCGCGAGAGTATATATATATATATATATATATATATATATTCCTGATCAGCAGCAACAGACGAGTCTTATTCTATATGCATGCAATAAGGCAGTAATCCATATTTTTGTTATATTATACTAGATATCTTGTAGTCAGCCGGATCGGCCCACTATATCACATATTTCCCATTGAGAAAATCGCTTAAAAATCAAAGTCAAATCTACAAGTACTTAATTGTTTTCTGTAAAATCCCATTCAAACTTCGATTTTACGCGCTTTTCTACTCCCCCCAAACATATCTGCAAACTTGTATGAACACCCGAGTCCTATATCATAGAGCTGCCTATGAGAACTCAGCTCCCAGAGAAGATATCTTGACGAAATTTTGTACATATGCTAATTGTAGCTCAAAGCCATATATATTAACAGTTCGGTCGCATCGGACTACTATATCCTATAGTTATCATAAAATTGCAGTTTTTATATGGAAAACACTGTAATATCACTTAGCTGCCTATGAGAACTCGGCGCCCAGTGAAGGTATCTTCATGAAATTTGGAATATATGCTTACTTATACTCATATGAGTATATATGTCGATGTTGGAGGCATAGCTTAACTGTATCGTGTAGGAAACAGGATATTCTGAAAGAACATTTGATGTGCGGCGTGGCAAATGAAGCTGTTCTATCCAGTTTTTTTTTTTTCATTCGATATTTTCATTTATATTATTTTTGTGGCCCATGTGAAGTGCGCTTGAGCGCAAAACGAGGCGGCCAAATGCGCAAAATGCTTTCGCGCATTCTCGAGTGCTTCGTTCCACTTGAGCCACATTTAAATGCCAAATGGCAAATGGTCAGCGAGTGTGCCAAAGGGAAGGGCAACCATTTTCCATTTTCGAACCACCCAAAATAGAGGCCAAATCGGGAGGCTCGGTTCGGTTCGGCTCGCAGCTGGCTGCGGCATCTACTCTTTCTATTTTTCCTGTTTTTTTTTTTTTTAAGCTTTTTGCGCGCCTTCTTTTGTTGCACGACGGCAGCTTTCAATTGTTGCCGGCAAAAGCTGCCGCAGCGAGTGCGAATTTGAAATCCTTGCGAAAAGGAAACTAGTTGCGCCACAAGTTGATCCTGTTTCTTGCGATCCCTTTTTTTTTTCTATATATTTGCTTTGTTGCCGGCAGACAATGGCAATTCAGGCCTAACTAGCTAGATCCCGATCCTGCGCATCTTTAACTCGATCTTCTTGCTACTTTCAGACTCTCGCAACAGCTGCCAACATGCTCAAGTGGGCTGTGAACCAGCCGCGCCCTTCCTACCTGGCCGAGCAGCCAGTCGCGGGCACAGATCCGGGCACAGGCACAATCCACCAGGTCATCAGCAGCTACAGCGACTTCCAGGTGGCAGCCACGCCCATGCGCACAGCCGCCCCCCCGACGCAGCGGCTCAAGCTGAAGCGGCAATCGCTGCTGCCGGGCCTCCTCCACCTGGGCAAGGAGAATCAATTGACATCGACGCCACTGCCCGCAGCTGGAGCTGGAGCTGGAGTTGGAGCACGCACTCCTCTGCTCCGGGATCTGAGCAACATCATGTCGCCTCTCCACACGCCCATGACCATGGCCATGCCCACGCCCATGCCCACGCCCACGTCCAAGGCGAAGACCGCTGTCTATGCCTCCACGCTGCCCACCTTCGAGGCGGAGTACTCGCCCAGCTACAGGGTCGACCAGGATGGGGAGAACAACAACAACAACAATGTCATCTTTCCGGGAGCGCTGCTGGCGCTGCGCGGCATGGGCATCCCGGACAGCTACTTCGAGAAGCCGCGCTACCTGGAACAGAAGCCACTTCCCAGTGACCAAGTGGGAGCTGCTCCCCCTCCTTCTTCTGCTGCTGCTGCTCCTGTTCCCAGTGCTGAGCAGACGACGCTCAGCTCCAGCCAAATGGGCGATGTCACCTTGGAGCGCATGATCGATGCCATTCTGGAGAGCACACGCAAGCCGCCAGCTCGTGTCCGTGCCCGATCCCGTTGCCATTCCCGTCTGCGCCAGCGGCAGCGTCAGAGGCCGCAGCCTCAGCCTCAGCTTCAGCCTGGTCAGCGTCTCATCTCGACGAGCCACTCGCCCACCTATCGACCCGCCTTCGATCCGGCCAGCGATCTGTCCGAGTACTGGCAGCCACCTGTGCATCCGGATGCCTACGAGGAGCGGGAAGTGTGCTCCCCACAGCCGCTCTCCCAGTCGGGATCTGGACTGGAACTGGAACTGGCAGGGGGAGGGGGAGGGGGACAGGGCAAGCGGCGTTCGCTGCAGCTGAGGAGGCAGCGCGTGGTGCGTCGCAAGCGGCAGATCGCGACGAAGATCTCGTCGAGCGTGCGCCAATCGGCGCAGAAGCTGCTGGCGGCCGCCTCGCGCTCCGCCCAGAAGCTGCCCCACTCCCAATCCCGCGCCAAGCAGCGGCACATCAGCCCCGACAGCGGACACAATTCCACCAGCGACTGCGAGCTGGAGGAGGAGCTCGCCTCCTTTGGGGCCTGCGTCCTGGAAGCGGCGACCAAGCGGCGGCTCAGCTTCTCCTTTCACGAGGAGCAGTAAAAACGGGTTTCGCGCGGAACTCGAATTCAACTAATATTTGGCTGTCGTAATAATTTTAAACACTTTTTTTTTCGTTATTTGTTACGTAAAGAAATTTGAGAATTGAATTTTATTTTGTTTAGTTTTTGAATTTAGCAAAATTGTTGCTAAAAGCTTTCAATTGCCTTCTTCAAGCTGACATTCCAATTTAAGATCTACCAAATTAAATTATAATCACTTTTTTTTGTCGTAATAAAATTGCCAAGATTGTAAAAAAAAGTTAATTTTCATTATCTATTCTTTGGGGAGTAAATTTGGATTTTGTCAGAGAGAGGGAGCGAGCGAGAGAGGGAGAGAGAGAGACATGGGGAGAAAGAAATAAGGTAGTATTACCATGCCAGCTATATGATATAGCCGATCAGCCGATCTCGACATATATATTATTTTGAGCTAGGAGAAGCATCTGTACCAAATTTCAGCTCGATAGCTTCACTGGGAGCTGAGTTAACATAGACAGCTGTAAAATATTGCAGTCTGATCTTTTCGGTATACTAGAGGAATATCTCCTTATCTCGCAAAATATCTCTAGGATCGACTTAGATATCGCCACAAATGTAAAATATCTTAAAGTCAAAAGTAAATAGCTGTAACTTAACTCTTTTGCAGTTCTCCTGGCTCATTTTGGAGGTTATGTACAGCATATAAGCCCAAATAAGTTAAGGTGTATATGAAATACTTTAAAACGGTTTTAACATGAACTATTTGTAGCACTCAAATCTTAATTTGTATTCATAGCAAGTTTGTAGTTGCGCAAAGGGGCGGGTACGGTAAGGCACGGTACGGTAAGGCACGGCAGGAGAAGTCGTTGAACTACCCTCTGTTTGCCAGTTGTTGCTCAGCTATGTGAACTGCGTGAATATCCTGCCTATATATGTTATATACAGCGCATATCCTGTCCAGGCATTTACATGGCATTCATCACACACCTGTGCTGCACAGCAGGCGCTGCGGGTACCCGGCAATGCCCGGTAGTGCCCGGTAGTGCTCGGTAGCGCTTGGGCGGGTGCCCCTCCTGCCCCGCCCCCTCGCGTAGTAGCTACAATTTGCATAAATTTGCATAGACCAAGTACAAATGTTTTGCTGTATATGGTTTTAAGGACATGGCTAGCTGGATATATATGGTGCAGTACTAGTGGGTAGCATAGGTTGTCCTGCGGCTTGTCAGGGCCTTGTTACAGCCCGTAGGGCAGCCAGCCAGAACCAAGTTATGCAAAAGGCATATGGAAAATTGTTGACGCCAGCAAACAGCTGCACAGGATTCAGCCGCAGGATCAATGTGCAATGCGTGGGTCGTTAGCTGGGCAAAAGGTTCTCCTTAAATGTCTATTAAATGCCTTTAAGTAAATATGCCCAGGCCTTGCCATTGTCCCGACTGCTGCTGCTGCTGCTGCTGCTGCTCGTCCTTTGTTGCAGTGCGCTCAATTGAGTTTCGCTCGGCGCAGCTGCCGGGCGCACGAGCGGCCCCTGCTCTGATTTGTCACATAAGAGTCGCAGATCCTTGAGATCCTCACCAGAGCTCGGCTGCGTCGGCGTGCGGCACACCTTGCGGCAATTGCGCCAAAAATTGGGCAACCGAGAAGCAAGCAAAAAAAAAGAACCTAAGAAAACAAATTGGAGTGCATAAATATAGGCTGACCGACTAGCGGATACCCTGTACTTCCACTTGAGCAAACAACATACCAAATATGATCTCTCTAACAACTTAAATTCTCGAGGTGTGCTTACTGAGCTTGGCTGTTTATCGATATTTAATGTTTTTATGATAAAAAGAGATTTATTTGAAAAGTGCATAAACTCCGACAGTGTGCAGAATATCGATATTTATCGATTTTTCGAATATGCTGGAAATTAGCGAAAAAAAGGTTGAGTTACGCTTTTACTTATTCTACATAAAACACAATTAGTCTCAAAAATGTAAATGTAAAAATGGATAGTTCTCGATTTGTATCGATTTCGAGCAAAGGTGGGAACTTATCGAAAAGGTTACATATAGATATACCCTATACCCTATACCCTATACCCATACCTATATCTATGCCTATACCGAAACTTTATCCAAAGTCTGAGTTTCTTACTTTGCTAAACTCTGAGATATGCCCGAAATATATACGCTAAAATTCGACATATATCGATTTAGGGCTAACAAGGGGAGTTATCGAAATACTAAACTTATCGAATACTAAACTTCTCAGTTTGAAACAGTTTGAAAGTTTCTGGCTGTGATCAAGAATATATAGATACCTTAACTTTCGCCTCTGACAAACATGCACACAGCTTCAATATACCCCATATGCACGTTCACTTTAAGTACAGGGTACAACAAAAAATGAAACGAACTCAGGGGACAGCTGTCGTCGCGTGTGAGGGTGTGTGTGCGTGTGTGCGTGTGTGTGAGGCTCCTTGGCACGTGGCGTGCATTTGCAACACCAACGCAATGCGAGGCGTGGCAAGGTCTCAAGTGTCTGGCAATTGGTTCAAGTGGCCGCCAGTTGCAGAACCCGAAATGGGTTAAGTGCCGGAAATGGCCAAGCGGGAGTAGCGGGGCATGTAGATCTAGTAAAGGGGCCAAGTCGAATTAACCTAAATATAAACTGTATAAATATTTAAAATAAACAAATAAAAGCAGTTGCCTTTTTATTATATTTTGGCACAGATCCCGATCGGAGCAGCTGGCCAGAGATAAAGTTGGGTCTGGCGGCGCGCAACTCAATCAATGTCAATGGCAAGGCAATTGCGACTGTCAATAAATGGAGCAGGCGCGGGCATAGCAAGAGGGCCAAAGGACCAAAGGACCAAGGAACGAGGGGAGGCAAAGAAAGCGCACTAATCCCAAGCGACGTGCGCGATAAGTTCCAGAGCGCGCAGCTCTTGGAATTCCCATTTTGCCAACTATTTGTATTTGTCAAAGGATCTGATTGCGAGCGAGAAAGAGAGAGAGAGGGAGAGAGAGAGAGAGGGCGCAGCAAGGACGAGACGATTAATCAATGTGACGTGTGTGCATTATTCGTGCCATGTCCTGAATGCTCCCTCTCCCTCTCTCCCTCCCTCTCTGGCCTCACCTTAGCTCAGCTCACCTTGTCGCGTCTTGGTTTTGTTTTTTCTTTTTTTTTTCGGGACATCTTTCCTTGCTCGGTCTCGGGCTGGGTTTCGGGTTTTTGCGCGCCAAAGCGGGAATTTGTCCTTGGGATTTGGTTTGTCCTCATTGAGTGTGTCCTGTCCCGTCCTGTCCCGTCCTGGCCCGTCCTGTGCCGCTCTGCTTCTGTCCGAAATGCGAGCGAGCAACGTGTGAAATTGGATTTTCATTCAGTTTTCCCTTTTTTCTGGTTTTATTAATTCGCTTTTGGCTTGCTCGTCAGACTTCTCGGGGGTTTCTCTAGCTGGAGACAATATTATGGAAACCTCGTCGTTGCGTTCTTTGGCTTTCAATAAGATCTTGTTGCTACTACAAATATCTGAGATCCTGTGCCCTTTCGTAAGATCTATTGCTTAAACATTTGAGATAGAACAAAGTCTTTAATAAGCGTTATATAAAGGTATAAGAGTGAAGGAGCCTTCGTTCTTGCTCAAGATCTTGTCATTTCTTGGATTTGAGAATCATTTTTTTTTAAGTTCTAGCAGAAGTAAAAGACCCTGTCTAAGACTTATTTTAAGTATGCAATCAGGATAAGGCCTAGTACATGCTTATACTACGTCTTATACATGCTTATACTACGTCTTATACACATATCATTTGGTATGCGTATTTCATAAGTATAAGTATACTAGGTCTTATAAAAAGCCAAATAATATATGTATATGACCTGAATAAGCATGTACTAGGTCTTATACATAGCCAAATGATACACTTATACTAGGTCTTATACATAGCCAAATGATATATGATTTGAGATATGCTTAATTTGTATAAAGACAAGATCAAAAATCATTTTTCGTCTCTGCATAACATAGCTTAAACGCATTTGATCAGCGATCTATCCTATTTTTTTTTTAAGATCTGTAATAATACAAGATCTATTGTAAGTAAAGCTTAAAGTAAAGCCTTTATAATCAGAACTTGTTTGCGATCTGTTTGTCTTTTACACAAATCTTATATAAGTACAATAATACTGCTAATACTGTGAACTTCTTCCTATATGTTCTTCTATAACTTATGATCACAGATCGTGTTTAATGTGTGTATAAGATCACATTTGTATAAGACTTTAAATAGGTATAACATCTGAAAGTTGAGGACCTCTGAGACTCTTGATCCCATAGACATGAGCGGAATATCATGGAACATTCTTAAGTTTTTCTTTTCCTTTTTTTTTTTTTAATAAAACATAATAAGAGATCTGATCAATATGAATTGATGAATCCCTTTGATAAGGGATCTTTTGTTGCGTCTGTTTATACAAGAATTTATATAAGCACAGAATCAAGAGGTTGTATACGAGATATAAAACATAAGGTATGAGGGAACTGCAAGGTAGACGCCCACCCGCCACAAAGGATCTTCGCATGATCCTTGAATGGTTTCTGCGCCCGCTTAAGGGTAACCGAGTTTTGGCTAGCTAAACCGCAGGATCAAACGATTCAATCGATACGCATTTGCATTTGAAAGAGTTGCACAGAGAGAGAGAGAGAGAGAGAGAGAGAGTGGCTGGGGGAGAGGCAGAGGCAGAGGAAAGGGTTGTCCTTTGTTGTCCTTTACGATTGCGTATGTAAATGTTGTTTGCACGACAAACTTTGACACGAACAATGCCAAACGCAATACTAATAGATACATTAATGCCGATCTGTTGCAGGATAAGAAAAGGTTCTTGGGCAATTAAAAATCTTTGCGGGTCATCCGTTTGCCTGTGGCAAAGGGGTCAAAGGTGGTTTTGCCCAAGAGGCTGTGTTTGCACTTGGGCTTAGATTTTCTCTAATTGCTTTCCATTAGGCGACCTGCGTTCGGATTTCCGGTTCTCAAGCACTTAAACCAATTGCTCTCAGCTTTCGAGCTGTTTACCTTGCGGCTTTCTGATCCCGATTCGACAAGACTAGAACCGAACTTTTCGC